TTGAACTCAGAGGCACTTGATCACTGAGCCACATCCCCAGCCCTATTTTGTATTTTATTTAGAGACGGGGTCTCACTGAGTTGTGTAGTGCCTTGCCTTTTTTTTTTTTGCTGAGGCTGGCTTTGAACTCATGATCCTCCTGCCTTAGCCTCCTGAGTGGCTGGGATTACAGGCATGCACCTCTGCGCCTGGCAAACCCAGGTTTCACAAAAGGGTAGCCCTTAAGGTTATCACCTGGCTCACAGCAGCCTGGGCTCAGACATAGCCCCTTATCAGTTAGAAAAGGCAGGGTTATGCTGCGGTAACAAACAAGCACAAGAGAGCAGCTAAAGCACCCTTTGTGGGATGTCATGGGCTCTATTTAGTGCTGTCCTTGTTCTAGGCCTTCAATTGATAGACCAGGCACCAACTTGTATATTGCCATTTGCCATTCCAGGAGGCAGAGAAGCTGGGGTAAGTTGCATGCTGTTCTTTGAGCTTCCACCTGGGAGTAACAGATGTCACTTCCTTCACTTTGTTTTGTTTTCTGATGGAGCACACTGTGTGTAACTGTCAAGAGGCAAGGAAAGCCTCCTACCACGTGCCCAGAGTGGGGAGGACATTGACTCAACAGCACTAGTGACCACCAAAGGCCTTGTCACCTGTCAACCATTTAGTTAGTCTGGCAACTCTAATCACATCTTAGAACAACTAAGTCCAGGCCAGAAGTGCCTTAGGCAGTCTTCCCTCTGGGAGGAAGACTGTACTAGCCCTGTACTAGCTTGAATCCTGTACTAGCCCTGCCTCTCTGGGTCCCAGGGCTATAAGGTGGACAGGAGGTGGGGTGAGGGAGGAGATGGTGGGTGGATTCTGCCCATGACCATAGGACCATGTGTGGAACTCGGAATTCTAAAGTGTGGCCGTCCACAGAGTGACCATGTGTGCTGAGAGCCATTGCCAAGTAGGAATGACGCATCGAAATTTCCTTGCCAGCGTACCCCATGTTGCTTAGAGGAAGGACTTGTGGAAATGGACTTGCCTTGGACATTTTGCAGTGACATTGCATGTATGTTTGAGAAAGGTGACCCTGCTCAAGGACCAGGGTGGATCCCGGTTTAAGGAGGATCCTACTGGATTAGGGCGGATCAGGTTTTAGGGAGTATCCTGCTGGGAATAGGGCGTATCCTGCTGATTAGAGCCTGGTAGAGTACGTGAATTTTGCGGGCAGCCTCCTGAGCTACAGGGGTTATAGGCATGTGCTACTTACAGGGGTTATAGGCATGTGCTACTGCGCCAGGCCCAGAATGAGTTTTTAAAGAAATAAGTTACCATCCATTCTGATCATGGTTTCATAAAAATAAGAAACCTTTCAAAATGAAAATAGCAGGAAGGACACAATTTCAGAACAAAGTTAAATAAAAAAATTATTTTTTTTTATTTGACTTTTTTTTTTTAAAGAGAGAGAGAGAGAGAGAATTTTAATATTTTTTTATTTTTTAGGTATCAGCAGACACAACATCTTTGTTGGTATGTAGTGCTGAGGATCGAACCCGGGCCGCATGCATGCCAGGTGAGCGCGCTACCGCTTGAGCCACATCCCCAGCCCTTTATTTGACTTTTTGAGATGGGGTCTCACCATGTCGTCCAGGCTGGCATTGAACTCCTGGGCTCAAGTGATCCTTCTCCTTTAGCCTGCTGAGTAGCTGGGACTCTAGGTGCACACCACTGTGCCTAATTTCCAAACTATTATTATTACCTTCAGTAAATTTGTTTAGTAAAAGAAAAACAGACTTATTGCAAAATATTTAATAAATTTATTGTGAATAGACTAGAAATTACCCACCTCTACTCTCACTGCCCAAGGGTAATTACCATTAGCAATTCAGCTGAGTTTATTTTATGCTTATATGCATATTTCTAGTTCATAATTGACTCCTGTTCCTTTCCCCCAACCCTTTGATATCAGGGATTGAACCCAGGGGCACTTAACCACTGAGCCACATTCCCATCCCTTTTTAAAATATTTTATTAGAGACAGGGTCCTGCTGAATTGCTTAGGGCCTTGCTAAATTGCTGAGGCTAGCTTTGAACCCGAGATCCTCCTAGTCTCAGTCTCCCAAGTGGCTGGGATCACAGGTGTGCACCACCAATCCTGGCTTCTGTACCTTTTTTATTGTAAATGCAATATATTGATGGGAATTTAGGAAAAAAAGATACATAGAAGAAAATGAGATATTCACAGGTACTTGGAAGGCTGAGGCAGGAGGATCACAAGTCTGAGACCAGCCTGGGCAACTTAGCAAGACTCTATCTTAAAAGTAAAATGAAAGTCTGGGGATGTAGGCGAGTGACACTGCACCTCAGGGTTCAA